TTCTGCATTGATATCAAGTCTGTGCATTACACTGAACTGCACTAAAACTTGCTTTCTCTTTCGCCGAACTTCAGATATACATCTATGCGTGTGTGAAAGACGAATAAAATCACCTTGACTATTCCTGATCACGTTAAAATAAAAATTTTAATATAATTTCAAATAAAATAAAAAAAAGAAACAAAACACATTCAAATGAAGATATAGAATAAGATTGTTTTACACAGTTGGCCAATTGTCGAAGAATTTTTAATTCTGGCTTCGTGTTTATACTACTCGTATGTGTTATATAATATGATTTGCATTAAGTGAATAATATTTACAATAAGGCACTGTTTTTAGGTCTAAACACGGTGTCGTCGAAATAAACAACCGTGAATATCAACGTCTACACGAGACTTCACTTTCTTCTCCTTCCTCCTGTTTCTCTTCACACATATGTTCGTACACACGTGTGAGTGGGGCGCGTGCCTGCGTGTTGCACGCATGTCGTGTATGTGGGTATGCTTACCAATACAATGCGCAATGGTAAGAGGCCAGATCTGTAGGCCGGAAAATGCTGGTTTTCGATCTCATCGAAAAGATCGAAAGATTCGAAAGATCCCAGATAACCTAAGGAAAGGTCTTGTGAGTGACCAATAATACAATGAATTCATCGTTGAATCTATATACCTTCAAAGCTACGACGTGTAATGTGTGACATACTTTATCACATTCAGAACTTGTTTGAAATTTCTCACTAACTTTCAAATGACTGCGATCATTCTTTGCGTAAAAAAAGAAAAACAGATTCGTAAAATTCTTCTCTAAAAACTAGACAAGAAAATTGTTCAATTGATAAACTTGATTTTAAATCAATCGTCTGTCATATTTATTTCACACAAAAGAATTTTTTGTTTCTCTGATTTGATTTTATGTTTCTCTGTACATTGTTCTTCGGTTTACGTTATTTTTGCGAAGCTGCGATTTTGCTATAAACTACTTCCAGTGCAACATTAATGGATATTTAACATAATGAGGCCATGAGGAATATCTGCATTACAATACGCGTTGCTGCGTGAAATCTTATGCTGTCATTGTCTTTTGTAGGAATTAAACTGACCCCCTACGCCAATGCGCAATTAGAAAGTCCTGATGGATAATAATTAATATTTCTCTCTCTCTCTCTCTCTGTAAAAAAGGACCTTTGCGTGAAATTTTATTAAAATGGTCCTTACACTGAAGAAAATAACTTTATCTTCCGCGTGATGTATGTCGATTGACGGCAGCAGCCGCGTCATTGAGATTCGATAATCTCGATCCGGCGCGACTCGCCAGTACGCTCGCGTAAACGACCGTGTCTTAGCGCCGAGACACTACCGACTCTCCAGATTATCCTCATCTTTTCTCTTCTGCGAAAGTGATGTATACATATATGCATTTCTAAAGTTGCAGCTGTGATGATGGTTAATAATATGGTTAATAATATTGATGAAAAAATGAGACTGATCAGATGGAGAGAAAAAAGTCCCGAGCGAATTCTTTTCTTTCGATTAACAAGGAAACCCTTGGTTTATGAAAGAAATGGGAGCTCCTGTTTGCCTACAAATCAATTGTCTACAGCATCGTTTGCTTACATTACTTTTGCCGATAGTTCGATGATGTAGGCAATCGATTTGTAGGTAAAAGGAGCCATCTCGAAAGAAATATTTGATTAAATATTTTTTTGATACAAATCCAAGCATAAACGAATCAGACACGTGGTGATTTAACTCCAATTAGAAATCTGTTTCTGGGGAAATACTTCTGGTGAAACGCGATATATTAACGTATATTATCTAGCAACAAGAATTCTGCTATAACGCGCAATAATCAGCACTAAAATCTTGCGAGTTTTACAATTTTCAGGGTTAAATATTCAGCTGCAATAATTAAGCGGAAAACTCAATTCCATCAGTCCATTTGTAGTTTTTAATGTAAACCTTGATATTTACATGATTCTCTCAATAAATAAACTAACTTAATTCTTAATACACTCTAAGTGAAAAATCTACATTAATCTCTCTCTGTAATTAATTTATTCAGGGGAGCAAATTTTGCGATCACAGATGTAACCGCAAATAAAATATCATTATATGCGAATGTCCGATCTCCCGAGCCGAGTTTGAACTTTGAGTCAACATATGATCCGAGAACGATTCGAACACTAGGTGCGCCTGCTGCACATTGCACACATTGCAGCCTTCGTATGGGCCGACGTTCCAATAGCGCTGCAACTATCTGTACTTGATACGTCACCTCTCACCATGTTCTACCGGCGACAATAACAACAACATGTTCACGATAAACGTGCAATTTCTTTACAGTTGAAATTATGCGCATGCATGGACTTTTTATTTCGCTCTTCCATGCTAACAAAATATACGAAGAAAAATATGCAAAAAAAATTGAAAGTACGGAATGCCAACTTGACGTTTTCGCGAAACGAAAAAAAGTTGGTTGCTTTATATTTACACGAACGAAACAAAGAAAGTAATGAACGCATCTGTCTGAATCTGAAATTTTAACAGCAGCCCTGTGCAGGATCAAACTTATCTAAAATTTTAGCAGTTTAATATTTGTGGCGTCATTTTTGTGTCAGGCCGAGAACTTTTCGAATAACCTTCGTACAAGTAGAATTTTTAATCAGTCTTTGAATGTTGCTTTTACATATCGTAAATATTTTGAAATATTCCAAAATACTATTAAAATGTTTTTTTTTTTCTATATTTTAGAAATATTTAGCGCTAGTTGTAAACTATCACATTTCATGTAATGACTAAACGTATCGTGAGCAAAGAGTCTGCATTAAATTTTGCCAAAAACTTGGCAATTCTTGTTCTGAAATCATCGGTGCAATTCGTAAAATTTATAGAAACAAATCTATGAGTAATACACAGACTAAAGAGTCGGAGCAACGTCACTGCTTTTTCTTTGGCCAGGAAGACATTGTTCATAATGAATACGCCCCAAAAGGTCAGACGATAAACAAGGAGTATTTTATCTAGATGTTCCAAAGCGGTTACGTGATACAGTGAGAAGAAAATGACTCAAGTTGTGGAAAAGTGGTGATTAGATATTTCACCGCGACAAAAAACATCCAAGTATCCATTCTCATTGCATTCTTGTCCAATAATTCCTGGTGAAACGCGACATTGTGCAATTTCGTCAATCTCCGTACAGTCCTGACGTATCTCCCTACAACTTCTAGCTGTTCCCCCAGGGGGAAAAGTAAAAAATGTTTTAAAAGGAAAAAAATTTGAGGACGTAGAGGATATAAAACGAAATGCGACGAGGCAGCTGTTGGCTATTCCGAAAGCCGACTTTAAGGAACGCTTTCGGAAGGGTCATTAGAAGAAGATTCTAGTTTCCATTTTCAAAGAGGAGTACTTCGAAGAGGATACGTTATATTTATTGATTAAAATTAACTCTTTTTCTTGCTACAGCACACAGGTCGGATACTTTCCGGACAGACCCCGTACTACGTACACGATACAATAAAACGGTACAGCTTAATCCATTAATTTCTCTAGTCACAAATCAGTCATAAGTCAGGTATAAAAATTGATAACGTCATTGTAGCAATAAAAAGTTGCAAGGAATAATTTAACTGTAAGAAAAAGTTATAGATTGTTTTTTTGTTTCTCCTTCAGTTTTTTCGTTTCGTTCTAACAACTAGTCACCCACACTCAAAAAACAGAGCGGTTTGTCGTAAGCATTTAATGCAATGCGTATAACTGAAAAAAAGTTTGCTTCTTGCAGCGGCAGCTCAATTATCTCAATTTCAATAATAATACAATAGAAAGAAAAAACGAAAAATACGAATGCGGCCAAGTTTGACTTGGTTAGTGAATTTCTCTCCGAAGCTTTTGTTCCCTGTAAAATTGGCAAATCGAATTTTTTGTTTTCCGTTTAATTTCTGTTATATATCTCCTTCAACAGCCTTGGGAACATCTTCTTTCACTTTTATCTGCATATTTTGTAATCTAATATTTTGTAACCTAAAAACATAGCGGATTACAATCGCGTTCAGGAGGTCGTGTATCGTGTTGTATCTTGCACGAAACCAGGTTAAAATTACAAAAATGTACAAATTCACTGGATGATGATAAATGAAAAATTATAAATATCCTAGTAAATATTTGTTCATTTTCATAATTTTCACCTTGTTTCGAGATGTACGATAGACTCCCAAAATCGAACACTTGAAGAAAATCACATCAGCGATAGGTTACCGCATCTTACCCTGGTTCTATATTACATTATCGCATAAGTCGATCGTAGACTTGTCGCAATAGTCAATTTGATCCTGGTTCTACATTAAACCGGAAGTACAACAATTGAAAAGCACAGGTAACAGGGAATAACAGATTTCAATCGAATTTGTCATCGACACCATGTATACCAGAAGTACTTTAGTCGCAAATCGATCGCAGGTACAATTTAAAAATTGACACTTCAGATTGGCTGTCGCGACAAACTTGCGGTATGTAGAATCAAAGTCATAGTTTCGTGTCCAACTCAAAGTAGAGGATCGCAAAGGATTAAACATTCTCGGACAATTTTGTAGGAAAAAAAAAAACTAAAAATTACACAAACACGTTCCCTATTTCGTATTCGGATTGAACAACTTTGTACATACACCGATATACCTTTTTTCACAATAATGCAACACTTTCAAAGTGCGACGTTTCAACGTACGGTTTTTTATGTCCCGACAGGATTTACGGCAACTCGAAAATTAAAATTCGTCAATATTTGAGAAAAGCTGCAGCACCCTATGACTATTCTCGCGAAAGCGCGTTATACCTTTTTAATACGGCAATGATCGATTATTGGAAAATGTTTATTTTAGGAAAGCACCCGATAAGAGCGAAACTATTGAAATTCACATCTCGCACATACACAAACTTAAGTACAGACGCAATAACAATATTAAAGTCGCAACAACATAAAAAAAGAGGAGGTTGAAAGAAACTTACTGTTGAAGACGAGTAGCTTCCGCGTGGAACCAAGCCGCTTGATGGGCGACTTGACGCCGTCGATTTCCTCCTCGTCCATGATCCCGCGCCGGCGACGGCAATGTGCGGACCTTGATTTCCTCGGGCTTTCTCTTTCTCAAATCCGGCAAATGCGGCGCCCGCTCGCGTGCACGCACGTATACGCACCGTACGCACTCACACGCACTTGCGTAGCTCTTACTATACGACGCGACGCTATACGACCATATGCGACGCGACATATAACGCGCGCACGCCGCCAGTTGCGTGTTCTATAAGTTCTATTGCCGCGCGCGAACGACAAACGGAAGCCAAACTGAAGGTATTATAGATGCGAAACGCGCGCGCGCGCGCACGCGCGCGCACACGTCAGAGAGACGGGAGACTCGCCACCACGTTCGGAGTATTCGAGTATTCTCTCGAAGTTCGAGCTGTCTCGAGCACACGAGGCCGCGAGGCGTTCCACCGGCTCCACAGCCGTGCGTGCCTTCACCGTGCCTGTGCCTGCGACTACGGAACAGAACCGGTTTACGGTGAACGGCCGATCTGTCAGTCGGCCGTTAAATAGCAGAAAAGGGTCGAGTAAAAGGCGGCCGTTTTCGTACGTGGAATCCGTGAATCCGATTCTTCGAACGTGCACTCGCGCTTTATTCGCCGCGGTTAACTCGCTCCAACTCGCTCCAACTCGCTCGCGTAGCGCTGCGCGAACGATCGGCGAGAGCAGGCGAGAACGGCGGAGCGGAACCGATCTGTGATTACTCCGAGTCTGTAGCCTGTAGCTAGGCAAAGGCAGCCGTCCTCCCCCCCCCTTCCACCCGATCGAGACGTTACGCTCAATTCGACCGACTGAGGTGACTGAGGTCGATCGCGCGATGAGGCACAGGCACGCCAAGCACGTTACTTGAACGGCTACTCGCCGCGTAATGTCTGCCTGTCGCTATTTGTCTGCGCGGTTCGCCGCCTTCAGCCGCCTTCAGCCGCCTTCAGCCGCCTTGGCTCTCCTCGAGGCGGTCGCGGCGTGGATATTCTTGGACGACGAACATATATTAAAGTCAACTTCGAAAGCTCTCCACCACTGCCGCCACCGCACCGGTGTCTGCCGCTTGAACGCGACATCGCCGTGCCATGCTCGGATAGAACGCGAGTCGGCGGCGAGTCGCGTCTCGCTGTGTTGCCTTGGTAACCATTAAATAATTGCTGCGCTCAAGCGGTTAGCGGGGTTCGGGGAGCGGCTCGAGTGATCGTGGAATCACTAGCGCCATCCGTTGAAGAACATCGTATGATCGTACTACTAAACTGTAAACCTGCCCTGCGATTGCGGAAAATTCATTTCATCTTTCATGCAACTATCTCCACTATCGATGTTAAAGCTGGTATTCGTAGTCGGTTGTTTTAAGACCGTCCTTAAGTAATGTCCTAAGGTGCTAAAATACAGCCCTCTGATTAGTTTGTAACATCTTAAAACTGTACTTAAGACGACCTTGAATATAAGATCCGACTATGAATACCGGCCTAAAATCGCGCAGAATTTATTATATTTGACGAAACTGTCACACGTTTATTACCGACAAGATAGCTTGTCATTTGAAGTGACGTGATGACGTTACATCTGTGACATATTCGAGGACGAACGTGATGTTAGAAATGGCCGAATTTGTAGAAAAATAAAAAGAGAACCGTAATAACCATTCATAAATAAAAAAAACCCTATATTATGACGAAATCAAATTCAAATTTCTCTTGTTTTTTGAATATCAATCATTCTTGCCACATTGTGGCTGCGGTCCACTTGACGCTACAAACGTTTCGAAGCGTTTGAGCGACCAATCAGAACAAAGAATTTTACGAATTGACTAATCAAAGAATGCTTTTCGAAGCGTTTGTAGCGTCAAGTGGATCGCAGCCCATATTGATTAGAAAATACATATTTTAGTTTACATACTCGCCCACGCGCGCGCGCAGACACAGGGTAAAGACCAATTAAAAATATACATATATTTTTTTTATACATGAAGCAGATGTAAAAACTCATATATAATAATCAATGTTCTCAATAATGAAAGATTTAATTATATTTTGATAAAGCAGATTGTATATCGTAACATATTTTTATCAATTATTTTTATAAATTATATATGTGTGTGTGTGTGTGTGTGTGTGTGTGTGTGTGTGTGTGTGTGTGTGTGTGTGCGTGTGTGTGCGTGCGTGTGTATACATATACTATTTTTTTTTTATTAAAGACATAAAGCAGATATCGAAACAGTATCGAAATATTTGTTTATTTGAAACTCAGTCTCAAAAATTTCTATGTTGACTGATTATATAACGAATTTTCTGCCCTTAAACTAGATTGTACATTTTTGCAGTTATATGATATATACAAATATACAATATTTAGCATACAATTTTTTCTGTAATTACAATGGAGACACAATGGCTGCGTTCAGCAGAGAAAGCAGCTTTGCAAAAGCTGTTGTAAAATTCTTCAATGATTGGTTCATACATTTAGATCCATAAGGAATCAAAAGTAAGAACCAATCGAAGAATTTTATTGAAGAATTTTACAACAGTTGCAAAGCTGCTTTCTCTGCTGAACGCAGCCAATGTCATCACGTCTCGCAATTGATAGGAGATAAATTATAGTCAGAGTGGTATTATTGTTAATGATAAAATATCGAAAAACACTGGATTCACAGGCACGGTTATGAGAAGAACGTAGTTGCCGATCGAAAATTCCTATTAGGTTCACCAACATTTGATGTCTGACGCTTCGTGAAAACGTTAACTTCATCACCCTCGAGTTTCCTTTTTGCGCTCGCCGAGTTTCCATTCTCGCTCGATGTCGGCTTATTAATCTCCTGGTACAAGTTTTGTGCTACATGGAAATCCACATGTTCGCTGAACTTTGTTATAGGTATCATTTGATCGCACTCAGCACATCGCTCTAGAGGCACATTATACTCGTCCGAGTTGGTCTTGATTAGGAAATTATACAGGGGACTACGCCTCTTGTCGCTCTTGCCGGCGAGTGTGGCCTTGCTGGGTCTTCCTCTTCCCGTTTTTGGCAACTCCCGAGCGATCTTAACGTTCTCCTGTTTCTTACCTCGCGATTTCATGTACAATTTTGCTTCCTCCTGTAAATCGGCTGGCAACAGAGATAGGATGTCTGGATCTATATCGTCCAAGTCTGGAAATATTTCTCGTAATCGCATCGAAGGATTTTGTGCATAAGTCTCTGTTGACTCTTCATTATTGCTATTTACATGCATATATACATGCCTCGTGGAAGGTGTTTCATAAACATTTACTTGTCTGCGTAAGTCTATGTTGTAATCATCGATATTCTCATCATTCACGTTTTTTTCACCCGCATTACACACGATCAATCGTTTTCTACATTTTGATTCTTCCATAGTATTGGTGCTTTCGTCAACATTATTGTAACATTTTTTCTCCTCTGTCTTATATACGTTCATAAAAAAGGAATTTTGAAAGTCATTGTTATTTATTATCATACCTGATAGATGTTCGTTCTTTATTTTGGTCTTGTCGCGCTCATTGCACACTTGGATTAGCTTGGAAACTCTTTTTGACGTAGGCGAATTCACAGCGCTCATATTTAAGTTAATGATTCTCTTGCTTCCCTTCATCATCCCTTCATTAGTCTTTGCGATTGATTCTTTGACTTTCTGAGACTTCTGTCTTTTACTTTCCAATGAATAAACTTCTTTGCTGTTGAAAAGCGTCTTTTCTTTCGCTTCTGAATTGGACATCGAGTTCATCGTATCTCTATGTAAATTTAAAATAACGACTTTCTCCTCGTCTTTCGGTTTGATATTTTTAAAAAATTTTAAGAAGCTACCGCTTTCTTTCGATGGTATAAATTTAGTAACAGAAATGCCGATGAATGCCACCGGGCATTGCGTGGACTTAGTGATAACGTCCACGCATTGATTCGCCATTTTCTCTGGTTTGTATGAGTTTAAGGCAAGCGAGCGCGTTTGGGATATAGTACTTTTGTTGTGATAATAATGATAAGAGATTACGAGTAGTGTAGCACGTCGTTGATTCTCCACAAAGTCCTCTTCGAGCCGTTCGCACACTTCCGCTGCCAGATCCCCGGCCCAGTGCTTCAACTAAACATGAAATAAACATGAAATAAACATGAAATACGAGTATATACTTGTGCAATCCGATATAAATCTTTTTATAAATCCTTTATATATTATTAAAATAAGAAATTATTTTTGGATGATTTTACCACTTCTAATGAAGTAATAGCTTGCTTCCCAGGAAATTTTTTATACGCCCCGATGGACTTTGCCAAAAGTCTATTGGTGACAGGCTCGTCGTCTCTACCTCGAGCAATACTATACAGCCAAAATCTGAAGAATTAAAATTACGAGAATTATGTTAGAAATGACAAATCATAAGAGTTATTTTCGTTGAAACTTGGCTCACACAAAAAAAAGTTTCATATTTACCCTGTCTTTTCATCAAAATGCTTTTTTAATTGTTCCAAAGAATATTGCAATAGATCTCCCATAACTTTACAACCAAGAGACTCGATCACAACATCGCCAAACTTTCCACCGAGATTTCGGACCTTTTTCACTGGAAGCGTCGAGTACAAGCTTGAAACGGCTGCTTCAGGTAAAATTGTTTGGCGATTCGGCTTATGTAATCCACATGCTAGTTTTGCTAATATCTATAAGTTGATCACACACACACAGAACGTTCGATCAATATGCAAATCATTAAAATATGGCGCATAGCAAAATATGGAGAATATAAAAAAGGTATTAGCCTTGTTCTGTGCAATTCCAGCAGAACATTTGAATCCAGTTTCTCTATATATACTATCTCTTATCTCTTCAACTATTATACCAGCTACGGCGAGTCTCTGAGCTTGAGCATCGTGCAGTTCTTTAAAAGAATCTAGTATCCAAGTCTGAAGCCCTTGACACCTCTCCTCTGGAACGATAATGCATGTTTGATACGCGCAACATCTAAATCATTCACTTCAAATGTCAAGGAGTAACTTTTACATTACCTTCGTCATTTTTACCAATTTCCGAATATCCTACGACATATGTATTTGCAAGAAATGATATTAGTTGTTTTGGAGAAACTTTAGATGCAGCTAATCTCTTATCAACAATATCCGTGATGTCAAGATATGCCTCATCAACACTAGCACGCTCTATCACATTACAATGCTTTTTTATAACTTGGATAACCTCCCGACCGGCTTTTCTATATCTGCGTGACACAAATTATTAAATTAATTAAATTAATTATGTACCGAATAATTTTTAATTATATATTAAGACTTCAAGAATAACTGGATAACTAAATAAGAAAAAATATCAAACAAATTGAGTTGTGAAATACTAACGTATTATGTGAAATTACCATATTATGTTTATAAAGATCTATTTCAACTGCAAACTATTACCTGGATGTATCTGCTTTTCCACGAAGGCATGGTACACTGGCTAGAATTATATCCGGACACTTCTCTTTAGCTTCTTTGCCTCTCATATGCCTAATTACTCCAAAACTCCGTGCTTCATAATTAACAGCTATTATCCTGCAGCCAATCATAAATATTACTATGATACAATGTCATATTTAGTTCTAAAGTCAATAAATATAACGCTTTTATAAAAAAAAAAAAACCAATTGACAAGTCTCTTCAATGAACCTATGATAAATCTTTCGGAGCTGACGAAGACAGAATACTTTCGGGGTAAATTTCTATAGAAAAAAATCAATGTCAAATGAACAGAGAGTATTATAATTTATCATTATTTAATTTCATCAGTAACTACAATTGCTACTTGTAGCAATTATAACAAGTATAGTAATTGTACAACTATAGCAATTTTTCATTTGAAGTTGATAATAATTTAAAATACCCCTCCCATCTCCTAAAATCTTAATAAAAATATACTCATTCGACGCGTATTCACTCAAAACGAAAGAATCTTAACCAATCATAAACGAACAATTCTTGTAAATTTCGCATACGTAAATGCAATATCAAAAGAATTTTTACACAATATTTTATCTTTTACGATTCACATTAAAAGAAGCATGTATAAAAAATCGGAAACGCAAAATTCACTACAGATTTACTTACTTAAATCATAAGATATCATTAATTTCAATTAACGAATTAAATAATACATTATAAAACATCTGTAACATTTTTTTTTAATTTATAGAAACAACGACAGAGTCGTGTTTATAATTACAGTGCATATTTTAAAGAAATGTTAGATTTAAACTTTAATCCATATAAAAAATTAAAAAGGTATACATTTTAAATAACAAGTTTTTCTCTGCTTTAAATACATAAATTCTCTACAATTAATAGTGAATTTGTGTTTTTAACCCTTAAGTAGGCGCATGGGGTCAGAACAACTTCAATCGCTAAAAAATACAGAACACATTTGTTTTTGACCTTGCCGCTTTCAGTAGCTTTTTATCTTAGAACGTAATTTGGAATGTAATAGCAATCGCTATTGATAGATAAATATTGATTTTATCAAACTGATTTATTTTTATTCTTAAATATCTCTCTTGGTTTACTTAAATTTGAAAACAAGTTGAGGTCACTGCTGACCTCATGCGCTCACTTGTGTGACTTTGCTCTTGCGACAGTTGCGATTCACAAGGCTGATCGCTGCGTTTTTCTGTCCGATCCTTTCTTTTTTAAATTTTAAGTGAATACGCATTGAATGAGTAAATTTTTAGGCTGGGGAGGTATATTCTAAACAATCTAAACAATTACCTTGAAGTTTAGTTTGAAAATGGTTGGTGCAAGTGGCACCGGATAAAATTAACAAATTCCGCTTACCCGCCCATTTCCCACTGATTATACTGGACAACAGCAAGGGGTTTTCCTTCATGTTGCGGTTGCAACTTGATTTCGACTTGACAAAAGAAGCAGTCCATGTCGATCAGGACAACGATCCTGTTACTCGAACTCGCCATTTCGCTATAGAATTAGACTGATCAACATAAGGTTAATTAAGAGTAAATGCTTTGTATATGTATACACATGATCTTTGCTTAAATTTGCAGAGAGTAACCTGAAGCCGGAATCAGACTATGCATTGAAACAATGGGCGCGTTCAAGTTGACAAAGCGGCTAGCCTGCTCACCGAGCAAATGAACGTAATTGGTTATTACTTATAGATCCAACCAATCATATTCAATCGCTCGATAAGCATGCCTAGCCGCTTTGCAGTCTTGAACTCGCCCATAGTGTTGCTACTGCTCTAGCGCAATGGACCAATCACAATAAGACTGATTTAATATGTGATTGGTCTGTTATTGGTCGGCAGTCAGAG